CGTGGTTAATTATGCTCGTGAGCCATGGGTACTCATGCCCCGTGGATACCTGTCAGGGTTGGGTTGATTTTTCTCCTCTCAAACCCAATGGATATGTTATATGATATTTTTGTGGATGCACCGTTGAATTAGATTTGAGGAGAAATCCAACCCAACCCGACCCGTTGACATTCCCAATCGTGAGTGGCAGTTAGTTAACTATTAAGTTGGATTGTCCAGAGATCCAAGAGCAAACTAACTGCATTTTTTATTTTCATATAATGATGATACATAGATTTGTTTTAGACGATTAGGAGCAACGAACTATATTATTAATATTATTTCGTAGAAAATAGCTTGTGACACCCACCACAATTATTTGACTAATGAGACACCAATTTCGCTCTCTCTCTCTTCGACAATCAGGTGGCAAGCTAAGTCTGGTAATTAGCAGCTTAATTTATAAACGTCAAGGGTAACAACTAACAACACTGGCAACGACAAGACGCGGTTGTCTTATCGCAAACCACGCCGCAAAGATCGCAGTCGTTGTCGTTTGGGCATCTGCCGAAGCACCCACCGCCGTATTTTTGCATACAGTCCCAGTCGATTCGACATTCACCACGACGGTCATCACATCCGGCGACACCGTCAAACCTGGAAGCAGGTAGAAGCTGATACGCCGTCGTATTCCCTGCATACGGTGGATTTGTTCTGGCTTCGTTGAAATACGACAGATCTGCAATTTGTTAATGGAAGAAGAAAAACAATGGAGTTATATGGATATATAACTACTGAGATCTGGATGGGAAAGAGTGAGGATTACTTGCATGAAAGGAAGATGATGAAGGCTGCAACCAACTTAAGAATGGACATTGCTGCCATGGCGGACTATGAGAATTATTAGTTGATGTTTTGAACTCTGTTTAATTAGAGGCTGAACTTCAAATGTTGTCAACAGTTCGATATCGTTATATAAACTTAAGTATTTGTAGTGATATATAAATACTAATTTAACCTATAGTAAAGAGTCCTATATATGTTATTCTTCTAAAAAAAATTTAATAAAAAGTTCGAAATAAAAAATAATTTAATTAATTGATTGATGAACCTATCTGGCGTAACTAATTATATAAATCAACCAATTTGCATTGGTAAGTTCGCCATAAGATGATTTTCTTGGTTTCGCTGCATTAGATTGAAGTGTTTAATGCATTGCTTCTTCTTCCTTTTTTATTTCATGGTTCGTTGCTTCCTGTCTTAAATGACGAGTGAACTTTTTTATATAAGGGTGATATAGATTAATTTTTTGTAGCTTAGATATTATTTAAGTAATTCAAATTTGGAACCTACAAGTTTAAAATTAGTAATATTACTAATAGATCAATCCTTATTCATATCGAATGAATTCTTTTTAATACTAGAGGTTTAGGACATCTAATTGCGAAATAACATGTAGTTAGCCGGAAATAGTAGCGTGTCCATCATCAGCATCAATATTTTAAGGTATCCTATGCATAATTTAAGAAGGACGTTCCAATAAACTCAACAAAACAAATATATGCATAATTTAAGAAGAGAATCCAATAATCCGTCACTTGGGCAATATTTACCAATAAAAATATAAGAACACAAAATTGCCTAAAAGTTAAAAATGTTGGGGATGTGGATCCCTCGGCAAAGTAAATACTGCATGGGAATATTGTTGCCTCACTTTGATGTCAACCGTGAAAAATGAGCTAGTTTCAACCTGTGTTAGTTTTTGCTGAAACAGCTTCTAGTTGAATGTTTTAGAGAAGTATTTTTCAAAAAAAAAAGAAAAAAGTTGAGTGTTTGGATAAAAACTATTAGTATAGAAGCTCTGAAGAAAACCGTATTTTCGTGATGGTTGCCTCGCAGTCAGCCATTCCGTCGGCTAGCGAGGGTTCTTCTTCCCGAGCTTAATTATTCTTTGTGGCTCCTGAGAAATGACTTACGTATCGACCTCCAGAGAGAATTAAGGATGGGTTTTGCATTCCACAGGCAATAAAAGAGAAGGGCGCTGAGCGATGGAAGATTTCCGTGATTGGTCAGTTTGTCGGCAAGCGTCCAAAGGTTGCGGAGCTCCAGTCTTGGGCTAACCGCCTTTGGGGGAGAGATGGTGTGGTCGGTGTTTCACGATTTGGTCCCAAGCTACTAGTATTTCAATTTCCATCACTTTCTTCTTGCGATTGGGTGTTCAAATCGGGGCCTTGGCATTTTAGGGGTAATCTGATTTGCTTTCGAAAATGGGAGGTGGGTATTCAGCCGATTATGCCGAAGGTAGAGACATTGTCGATCTGGGTAAAAATCTGGGGACTGCCTCTGGAATATTTGGGTCAGGATGGTATTGAGTGGGTTGCTAGTGCAATCGGAAGGCCTCTATGGACTGATAAAAAAACTAGGTTTGGTGATCAGTTGGGGTTCTCAAAGGTTTGTATTGAGTTTGCAAGAATCCGCTTGTACACTGACAATGATCCTGATTTTGAAATTGAGGTTGAGTATTTGTAGCTTCCTCGGGTCTATTCTAAATGTTGTATGTTTGGGCATTATTGTCCTCAGGACCCTCATAAGCAGTGGAGAGTGAAAGAGAGTGTTGCTGAAATGGACCTATCCGAAGGTAATGAGGCTATTCAAGCTCGGCCTACTGCAAGGGAGGAGACATTGATTCCTAGTGCGGATGAAGGTTTTGCTGAGAGTGGAATTGGTGTGGAGAGTGGACATGATATCAATTGGAAAAGACGTTGAAGGTATGGAGAGTGTTGCTGAGGTGCTGATTGATTCTGGAGTGCTTCATTACTGGATGTAACTCCTTCTCAGGCTCCTGCTCCAACTGGGAGTCTTCCTTTGAGTTTTTCTCAGATAGTAAGAGGATCATCACCTTTGGGCGGGAGTCCTCCTACTAGTGGGCAAACTGCTGAGAATGTTAAGTCGTCAGTTTCTGGGAGCTTACATTTTCAGCTACCTCAGGGAGATAGGATTGACACTGTAAAAGGTAAGGGAAATGTGCAGCCTCCTGACAAAGGAAAAAGAATTTGGGTAGACTATCCTATTGAATCAACCTAGAAGAGGATGGAAAGGTTGTAGGGGAGAGGTAAAAGATGAAGATCATTACCTGGAATACTAGAGGATTCAAAGCAGATAGTAAATATACAGGTTTACTAAAGAAAATAAACAAGTATAGTATAGATATAGTAGCTTTTCTTCGGCCTAGAATAAGAGCCTATGAGACAGAAAGGTTGGCTGAGAAACGATTTCCAGACTGGGAGACTAAGATAAAGCACATGCGCCTGGTTTGGGTAAGATTTGGTTAATCTGGAAGAAGGATATTCAGCTTACTGTTATGCACTCCTCAAACCAGTTTGTTCAATTTATGGTGGTCGGGGGGGGGGGGGGGTCAACCTTTCTTTGGTACGGTAGTATATGCATCAAATCATGAGACCTCTAGACAAATTCTTTATAATGAGCTAAGAAGAATTAGACTAGTATGTGGTCCTTGGATAGTGATGGGCGATTTCAATGATATAAGGCACCCCTATGAGGCTTTAAATTCTCCAATAATTGATGCAACCATGACTTTCTTCCATGATTGGATTGTTGATCTTGAGTTGGAAGAACACCATGCTACTGGCCCTTGGTTTACCTGGCTGAATAAGCAAGCAGCTAATCCGATTGCTAAGAGACTAGATCTAGTTTTAGTCAACTTTGCCTGGCTGGACACAATTAGAGACAGTAAAGTTCATTTCCAAGCCCCTGGAGTCTCAGATCATTGCCCCATGTATGTTGATACGGCAGCTTCCTTGAAGTCTCTCCCAAAGACTTTCAAAACTTTTAAGTTCTGTCTTCATCACCCTAGATTTGATGAGTCACTGGAAGAGGCTTGGAGAAGTAATGTCTCTTTTCATCCTCTGATCAGGGTTTGTCAAAAGCTTAAGCACCTAAAGAATCTACTTAGAAAGCTAAATAAAGAGGAATTTTCAGATATAAGTGAGAGAGTAAAGGAGAAGGAGATTGAGATTCATGATGTCCAACAACAGGCTCTCTCTACTCCATCGGCATATATTTTTTTTTTCCAAGGCAAGCCCAAAGGGCATGGGAAAAAGACTCGACACGATTACAAGACCGACTCAAATACTGTGCGTTAGTCCGTATGCAACCAGACTATCGATGAAAGAGCCTGTAAAGCCACTACTTGGTCGTCGCCAGATATATTTGAAATTGAAAAGAAATTGGGGCACGAGCTAAAGGTTCTATTGGATGCAGAGGAATCTTTCTTTAAGCAAAAGTCAAGGGAAAACTGGCTTAAAATAGGTGACATGAATTCTGCATTTTTTTATCGTACTGTTAGAGTGAAACAGAAAAGAAGTACTATAAGGGTTCTTAAGAATTAGGTTGGTGAGCAAATTCATGATGTTGAGGAAATGGATCAAATTTCAGTTAGATTCTATAAACATTTGTTGGGAGTGGCAGACTCTGAGGTAGAAACTCAACTAGATGCTTATTTTGATGCTTTGCTGAGAAGAAAACTTACTGGAGAGCAGACCGATGGGCTCTGTGCACCATTCATAGCTGAGCAGATTAAAGATGTGATATTTTCCATGGATGGGGATAAGAGTCCAGGTCTAGATGGTTTCTCTGTAATATGACCCGGAAGAAGGCCTTTGGTTCAGAATCAAGCCTCACGAAGTGAGGCGGCTCAATTCCTTGAACTCGTCGAGATTATGGATGGTTTGAAAGATGAAAACGGTCGATTTCGTGCAATCCCACACGCAAGGGAGGAAGGCTCGAAATAGATAGAATGCTGCTCGGCCACGATCACGGTGGTTATTGATCGATACAAGCTCTCCAACAACTTAGAATTCCTTCCAAGCTGCTCACTCAACTCACGTAGCTAACTAGGTGAATTCAAACTCAGGGTTGTATTATTCTTCATCAAGATCTACTATTACAATGTACTGGAAGTCTTTAAATATAACTAAGATAACTACTCAAACTAATATGGACTCCAAATCACAAACAAACTCGCAAACCCAACTTCAAACGGAAAAAGGTAAAGACAAACTGAATCCGCGAGGGACTCGGACTGGTGGTGTAGCAAGGCAGTTTCCACGAGGCTTCATGCGATCTTGCTGGGTTTCGTAGGAAGCCTTCCAATCTTCAATACTTCTAGCCAATGCCCCGCCGTTGAAGTAGATGAACTGTACTCTCATGTGGTATAAGCTTCCAGGCTCGACGTTCATCCACGAGTCTCAGACAAAGCCTCAAAGTCACCTTGATGGCCACGTTCCATGCCTTAGCCAATTCCTGGTCAATTCCCAGTTTCGACATAGGGTTTTGAGAGAGTTTAAAAGTGGCCTTTCTAGTTCTCTCTTGAGCTCCCAACCATTCCTTCTTGTAGAGAAACTTCCCAGGTTCCAAATAAGCCACCATTCGCCTCATTTCATTGAGTGTATCCCGAGTTGCACCTGTGCAAAGTAGTGTACCTGGAACATGTAAAATACTTGGACAAAAGTAGAGGTTCTTGTTAGTGATGAAGTGTGCTTCTTGCTGAAGCAATTCAAGCTTGTAAACCGATCCAAACGAAATCATATCAGGCCCTCCCTCTTGAAAAAGTGTTGCCCTCAACACTTGGCTCTTAGTCTTCTCAAATCGCTCACAGAACTTGTCCCAAATGGGGTCGACAAAGGCCTGTTCCAACTCAACTTTCTGGCAAACAAGGTCAAAGTTCTTCATCCATGGAATTGGGGTTTTCTGATCTAGGCATCTCCACTCCAATTGACCGCCATCACGAGCTTTGTCATACTCCCAATTTGCGTTCTGGACAAGTCGCTTCGCTCGACTCGTCGTTATCATCGTTGAATCATTATTCCCTCTCTTCCCGCCAACGTCGACTTTGAAAATTGGGGAACTCAGCACCCTTGCCTTTGATTTAGGCGTTTCAACCTCGATCATTCTCAGGTTCAATTGATCATCCCCATAGCTTCCTGTGAGCCTTGCCAACAAATCTACTCCCACAATTTGTGTCGATTCGCTCTCATTGTCGTCAACCAAGAGAGTCAATTGTGGGTCGCGCTTGCTTGTTTCCAGAGTACCTTTGGCTCGACTTGGATTCTGGAACCCGGTGACCGCCGTCCCAATCAGAGTGGTGGAGAAGCTTCCTGGAGACCCAAGGGGTGTGTCGATATCCTCCTTTCGGTTTGGGCTGCTCTCCAACGCCCCACCCAATTCACTCTCTTTCTTCCCCTGCCCCGGCGACATTGAACAGAGCAACTTCATTCGCCGACGTCGAGGTTGCCTCTCCTTTTTGTATGCTGTTAGCATAAATCGGTGGGTGATGAAGTTAACATCCTTGGAAGCTACTAGCTCTCCCCCACTGGAATTCTTGTCTTGCTGCCGCCGGTTGGCTTCCATCTGGCATTGGTCTTCGCGAACTTCGGCCGGCGTCAGGGGTTTGAGCAGAATATACTGATTCCGATGCTTGAACTTATGGCAATTGGTTCCTCCGTCATGGCAGACTCCTCGATCAAACTGCCAAGGACGTCCAAGAAGAAGGTGTGCAACTTGCATTGGCGCAACGTCAAAGACGATCTCGTCCCGATATTGGCCGACTTCGAACTTGATTTTGGCTTGCTTGTTGACCTTGATTGCACCGTAGTCATTTAGCCAATGCAATGTATAGGGCTCTGGATGTCTGGTCGTGCTAAGGCTAAGTTTCTTGATCACGTCGGAGCTCACGACATTAGCACAACTTCCCCCGTCGATAACTAATGACAACACTTCGCCATTAACGGTACACCTGGAATGAAACAGGTTAGTTCGTTGTTCGGAGTTTGAATGAACACCTATGGTAAGGGTTCTTCTGTTGACGCAACTCAATTTTCCCGGTGCAGCTTCGGCCTCCATAATTATCTCTTCATCAATCTCCTCCTCATCGAAATTCTTTTCCTCGTCAGTGAGGTATTCGCCATCGCGAATTACCAGAGCTTTCACGTTTGGACATTGGCTTGCTTTGTGTCCTCGTCCTTGACACTTAAAGCATTGGATTCCCCCAGTTCTTTCAGTAGCAACTGGATTTAGGGTCTTGGGAACCAATTTGGAAGTTTCAGGTCTTGTTGGAGGTGAATTAGCTTCTACAGTTGTATCTGTTGTTGTCCTTACTGTCGAGGAAAAACGCCGCCCTAATCCCATCTTCTGCTGCTTTTCGATCTTCACAGCGAGGTGGACAACCTCCTCTAGGTCGTTGAAGTTCCTTAGCTCCACTTCGTGGCGAATTTCGCGATTTAATCCATGTAGGAATCTTGAAATTGTCGCCTCTCTGTCTTCTCGTACGTCAGCCCTCATCATGAGCAGCTCGAGTTCACGATAATAGTCCTCCACCGTCCTTGATCCTTGACGAACACTCTGCATGGCGTCATGGACTTCCCTTAGGTAGTACCCTGGGACGAATCGATCCCTCATTAGACCACGTAGGTCTTCCCACGTCGTCACCGGTGGCTGCATATTTCTCCGGCGACGAATTTGGAGTTGTTCCCACCACTGGGCAGCATACTCGCTGAATTCGTAGGTGGCTAAACTTACCTTCTGCTGGTCTGTGTAACGGCCGCATTGAAAAAACAAGGTGATTTTTCGTTCCCAGTCCAAATATGCCGTCGCGTTCACAGTACCCTGAAACGCTGGTATCGTTAGCTTAATCCCAGGTGGGATTACAGGCTCTTCGTCTCGATTCTCTCGTCGATGACGCTCACGGTTGGGTTCAGCCACCACTAATCGCCGTTCAAGCTCCTCAATTCGATCTACTAACGCCGGATTGCCGTTGGGATTTTCGTCGTCTCGAGCATCCCCTTCTTGATCTCTGTTTTCCGGCCGAACGATGGCGTCAATCCTCTGATTGATCTCCTGCCTGAATTGATTTAGGCTTGTGTCAAATCGACGCATCAACTCCTCTATGTCAATGGTTTGTCCCGCCATTGTGAATTCTTCTGCTGCAAACTCGCCTTCAAGCCCTGCTTCTTCCTCTGAATTTCGGCTTACAGCTTCAGGGTCGTCGGCGACGGAACCCTTCGATCTTGTCCAAGGCGCGGTTCCCCCAACGAGGTTCTTCGTCCTGCCCACTGTGTATGAACCGGGCTCTGATACCACTTAATATGACCCGGAAGAAGGCCTTTGGTTCAGAATCAAGCCTCACGAAGTGAGGCGGCTCAATTCCTTGAACTCGTCGAGATTATGGATGGTTTGAAAGATGAAAACGGTCGATTTCGTGCAATCCCACACGCAAGGGAGGAAGGCTCGAAATAGATAGAATGCTGCTCGGCCACGATCACGGTGGTTATTGATCGATACAAGCTCTCCAACAACTTAGAATTCCTTCCAAGCTGCTCACTCAACTCACGTAGCTAACTAGGTGAATTCAAACTCAGGGTTGTATTATTCTTCATCAAGATCTACTATTACAATGTACTGGAAGTCTTTAAATATAACTAAGATAACTACTCAAACTAATATGGACTCCAAATCACAAACAAACTCGCAAACCCAACTTCAAACGGAAAAAGGTAAAGACAAACTGAATCCGCGAGGGACTCGGACTGGTGGTGTAGCAAGGCAGTTTCCACGAGGCTTCATGCGATCTTGCTGGGTTTCGTAGGAAGCCTTCCAATCTTCAATACTTCTAGCCAATGCCCCGCCGTTGAAGTAGATGAACTGTACTCTCATGTGGTATAAGCTTCCAGGCTCGACGTTCATCCACGAGTCTCAGACAAAGCCTCAAAGTCACCTTGATGGCCACGTTCCATGCCTTAGCCAATTCCTGGTCAATTCCCAGTTTCGACATAGGGTTTTGAGAGAGTTTAAAAGTGGCCTTTCTAGTTCTCTCTTGAGCTCCCAACCATTCCTTCTTGTAGAGAAACTTCCCAGGTTCCAAATAAGCCACCATTCGCCTCATTTCATTGAGTGTATCCCGAGTTGCACCTGTGCAAAGTAGTGTACCTGGAACATGTAAAATACTTGGACAAAAGTAGAGGTTCTTGTTAGTGATGAAGTGTGCTTCTTGCTGAAGCAATTCAAGCTTGTAAACCGATCCAAACGAAATCATATCACTCTGCAACATTCATCCAGTATGTCTGGCCACTTATAGGACCCGAGGTAACATCAACCATTCAATTCTGTTTTGAACAAGATAGAGTTCCTAGACCTGTGAATGCTACAATCCTAACTCTTATCCGAAAAGTTCCAAATCCAGATGAGATGAAAATTTTTAGCCCAATTTCCTGTTGCACCATTCTCTACAAATGCATATCTAAACTCATTGCTAACAAACAGTACTCTCCCCCCTTTCCTAATTAGCAAGAACCAAACAGCCTTTGTTAAGGGTAGATTAATTGGGGAAAACATCATGTTAGCTCATGAGTTGGTTAGCAAGTACTCTCATCAGAATGTCTCCCTTAGATGTGCTTTAAAAATAGATTTGATGAAGGCGTTTGATTCGATTGATTGGAATTTAATTTTTCAAGTCCTTAAACCTATGAAATTTCCATAAAGATTTGTGAAGTGGATTCGAATGTGTGTGGGAAGTGGGAACACCTATGCTTAGCATCTGTTTCAATGGAGGGCTAGTAGGTTACTTCCCAGCCAGGAAAGGGTTTTTGGCAAAGAGACCCCCTATCTCCTTATCTTTTTTCAATTGCTATGGAGATTTTTTCTTGTTTGATTGACAACTCAGCTTCAGAGGGGTTCTTTCCATATCATCCCATGTGTAAAGGGGTTCAGCTTACTCATCTATGCTTCGCTGATGACCTGTTGGTTTTCTCTAATGCTTCAAATACTGGTCTTCAAGAATTGCAAAGAATTATGTCTCAGTTCAAAAAGGTTTCTTGTCTTAAATTTAACCCTAGTAAATGTGAAATCTTCTTTGGGCGTCTGGATAAGGATTAAAGGAAGGTGAGAGCTGATAGATATGGCTACCAACTAGGAGACTTCCCTGTTCGTTATTTAGGAGTACCTCTAATCTCTGGTAAGCTTAGTCTGGTTGCTTGCAGACCACCGATTAAGAAGCCAGTGGCCAGGGTGAGGAGTTAGCAGGCTAAGACTCTTACTTATACAGGCAGAATTGAGTTTGTTGGCACTGTCCACTAAAACTTAACCCAATTATGGATGTCTGTCTTTCTTCTGCCCAAATATGTTATCAAGGAAGTGGAGACAATCTGCAGTAATTTCATATGGGGGTTGAAGCTGGTGTGAAACTAAGGGCTAATGTGGCTTGGCAAAAACTGACCTCGCCAAAGAGGGAGGGAGGTCTGGAGTTCAGAGACTTATGTAGTTGGAATCAGGCTTGTATGACCAGGTACATTTGGTTGATTTTTCTTACATGAAGGCTCAATCTAGGTGGCCTGGATCAATAGATACAAACTGAAAGGTAGGAACTTCTAGACATATTCTTATTCATCTGGCTCTTGGAATTGGGGTAAACTGTTGAAATTAAGGAGTAGAGTGGAATCATTTATCTCTGCTAGGGGGGTGGGATTCTTCTGTTGAACAATTCTCCTATGCCTCACTTTTCTATCAAGAGAGTTTGGAATCTCCTTCGCCCTACTATGCCGAATGTGAATTGGTGGAATCTTGTTTGGAAAGGCAAAGGTATTCCTAGAAATAGGATCTTAACATGGCTGGTGGTAAGAGGTAGCATCAATACAAAGGTAAGAATGTAGAAATGGGGATTCCTAGGGAGTCTGGCTTGTTGATTAAGTTGCTCAGGGGTTGAGGATAGGGATCACTTATATGTGCACTGTCCATTCTCGAGGCAGGTCTTTGTTTCCCTCTTTAGCAAATTTCTCCATCTCCCTATGCGTGAGAGGTGTAGACGCTTGTATGCAGGAGAAGCAAAAGAACTTCCTATTCTTCTGAAGCTGATTAAGACAGAGGTTGAATGTATGCTGGGTAGTCAACGTGTTAATCAGTTCTGGGTGGGGTGATTCTATGTCTCATGGGTTGTAGTAGTGGTAGTTAAACTCTCTTGTATTCTCGTTGTTTTCTCCACCTTCTGGTTGGACTAGGTCGAGCTAGCAAGGCAATTGTTAGCACCACTTTTAGATTAATAAGAAACCCATCGATTCGTCAAAAAAACTATTAGAAGTGTCGTTTTATGAATCGGTGGGTTCTTATTCATCAAAATGGGTTTTCTAGCAACAGCCTTGCTAGTTAGGTTTTTGCCAACCAAATGGTGGAGAAGATAACCTGTCTAAATATATTCTACCTTACCGCATCTAAGATAGAAAAACAAAATTGTTACACGACCCAAAAGAGACTAACTCGATGAAAGCTCAATACATGTTCAACCTCCGCCTTAATCAACTTCAGTAAGGTAGGAAGATCTCGTGTCTCACCCGCATACAAACGACGACATTTCTCACGCCAAATATGGCTCACCCACACTTGCCAGATAATCCTCACTGTTAGCAGTCTCTATCATGCCCCTTAATTTTGAAACCAAGAGGTCTAACTCATCTTCCCAACTCTACAGCAAGGGTAGCTGCATAAACCTGCAAAAGAGAGAATCAAACATCTGCCTCAAGAATGGGCCGTGCACATAAAATGTGGTCTCTGTCCTCAACCCCTACATTACGTAGACAACAAACCATGCTTCCCGTGAAACCCCATTTCTACATCTTCACTTTAGTATTAATCCTTCCCCTAACAACCAGCCAACTGATAACACGATTGCGAGGGATTGATTTTCCTTTCCAAACAAGTTTCCACCAAACTATAGTATGCTGGACTGGGCGAATAAGGTTCCAGACTCGCTTAATAGAGAAGGAAGGCATTGGAGAATTATTCAAGAGAAGAGATATATGGTCCACATCCAATTTTAAAAAATTTGAAAATTTTAGCTAATAAATGATATTTACCTAAATCCAAGTAAACTCATTGATTATGGGTAGAGTATGGGTGACATATATATGAGTTTGGAAGTTTGTAGATGGGTTTGAGTAGGGTGTGGATATGTACTTCCATAATCTAAATGTGTATGAGTTGGGTATGGATACCCATTTATTTGACTGCACGGTGAAACATCACCCTTGTTTTACTTTATCGCCCTAATTTAAAACATTAAATTACTTAATTAATCTTATTAGTTTTTAAACCAAATAAACATCAGCAAAACAGCCCTGACTAAAACTCCTAATAATCCTCCACCATCTTCGTCAAATGAGTATCGCCACCCTCCCATAACCGTCCGCCGCCAAGAACATGTAATTTTTTTATTGACGAGAACTTGTACTTCAAACCACATTTCATATTGGGTTTCTTAATCGAAACTCTCCCAACCATATTCCCTTACTATCCCTAATTGTGTTTCATCTCCTCCCAAACGAGAGGGGCGGCGGCCCTCTTTCCCTTCTACTCTAACCACCTATCATGTCATCGTCGAACTCCTCTCCGGGCAACAATCTCTCCAATGCCCTGCTGCCATTCAACCACGGTACATCTAAATGGCGACGGACCCTCTTTCTCAGTTGGCTTCATTTTCTAGTGGCCGACGCCGCTCTCCATATCGCTTTGATTAACCGCTCCTTGTTCTTAGTTCTGTGATTACTGCTTTAATTGATTAGGAGCAGTGATAAGTAGATGAACATGGTGGTATTGGAGGGTGGGAGCGGTCGGAGGTGGGTAGTGGTGACGACGGATGGAGGTGATAGTGATGATTATTTTTGTCTAAATAAAATATTTTCAAAATAAAAAAAGATATAAATGTAATTTTAATTTAGGGCGATTATAAAGTTAGGGCGAAAATTAGCAATCCCCTTATTCGAGGGTGTTTTAATTCCACATAAAAAATTAGACCTATTTGTAGAATTTCAAAAGTTTAGGTACAAAAATGTAATATACAAAAATTTTAGCTACTAAAATCTAATGTTCCATCAATATTTTGAGGACTTATATCCCAAAAAAAAAATTATGTTATAAATCTAAAAATTTATTAAGTTTAGATACAGAACTTTAATTTGCGCGCATAGCTGAGACTTAATTCCTTTTATGATGATGTATTTATGATGATAATTATTTACTTTTTACAAAAAAATGAAAACTATTTATTTGATATGTGTAGATGTCTAGCCAAACATTCCACGAAAATTCTAGCCCGGGTGAAAAAGAAAACTCTAGAGAGAAGCAAATTGAATACAAACTGGAACTCGCTTAAAATATCACGCCTTCAAAACCATAATGGAAAATGACGATTTTCTAATAAGTAATAACCATATATATTTATTTTTACTTTGACTCGACATTGAGCTGAAAAATTATTGGTTCATGGTTCAATTATTAATTCTCTATACTGTTGAGGAGTCGTTAGGGGTGGGCACTGGTGCGGTTTCAACCGCACCGCATCTTATGTTACTTGAACCGCACAGCATATTAGACCACAATTAATCGGTGCGGTCAAACCGAATTGCTTAAATAAACAGTTTGGTGCGATCCAAACCGCACCGCATATTCGACCGCAATGTAATATGAACTATGAGTAATTGAATTGACAAGTTAGAATTTACTTTATACACTAATATTTGTAATTCTAGCAAAAACCGAATATTTAACATCCTACCTATTAATGGTTGAAAACGGAAACCAGTGTAATACGTCTATGATATAGCATAGTGTTTTTTAATGTTAACTTAAGAATCCTATTTTTTTTTTGCTATGGTGATATATTTTATTAATTAAAATTATGTGAATAAAAAGGATAAAACTAAACAGTACAATGGAGGAATTTTACAATACTATATAGCATTGGTGCTATAGATTTTTACCTTTATGGTACAACTTGAAATTGGACATTCAATGTTATGGTACAGTTTTAGATTATACCTACACTATTTTGTACATATTTTTTATGGTACAACTTGAACTTGTACTTTTATGTGATGGTACAACTTCAACTTGTAAAGTTGTATCATAACATAAGGATACAAATTCATGTATGATACAACTTAAACTTATACATTTAATGT